AACAAGACAATATTTGGTAGCATAGAGGGAAAGGATAGTCTGCTGGTCACATTCGAGGGCGGTGGAGTCGAGGAACTGCACTATGAAAACATAGATTATCGACTGGAAGACCTGAACAGCAACYGGGCAGCCCATGGAGGGGACTATTCGGYTGCTGCAGGCCACGGGKGAGGGCGACAAGGAGGACGAGGAAGCCGAGGAAGAGGTGGAGGAAGAGGACRTGGCACCGAGGGGAGTAGTGGCGAACGTAGCTATTACGCGGGAGGTAGGGATAATGGTTCCCGGCAMGGTGGACACGGTTCCTTCTCCATAGGTGGAAGAGGTAGAGGGCGCAGACCATGGCCAGCACATCCAAGGGTTGCGGRCGAAGAGCCATGGAAAGAGATGGGCATTGAGCAAACGTTGTGGGAGAGAAGGCTTAAGGTCAATCAATGCCTAAATTGTGGTGATCCCAACCACATTGTTTGCTTTTGCCCTGACTACCGCTACCCAAAAGGGAGCAGCCAGTAGGAGTCACAGTTGCTCCTACTGGGCCTTCAGACACAGAYAGACAGACGGAAGCACGYRGTGAACAGGCACCCTCCTGTCTGAAGGCCCCTATGGCAGAGACTGATGTAGGCCCCCACCAGTTAGGTGTCCGGAAACYGCTTGTGCTAGGGTCTSTCTGGGTGGTTCCCTCGCAAACATCGGTGATGAGCTGATGGTCACTAATATTAGCAGATGTAGATAAGTAGGGAGTGAGTAGGTGCGTTGGTTGATAGTGGATCTACTCGTAGCTACATTAGCCAAAGGGGATCGCAAAAGATGCACCTGGGCATGAAGGTCATGAAGTTGGATGAGCCAATAGTGAGCAGGTTGGCAAACAATCGCGAAATGAGAGTCGAAGAGTACGTCAAAGGGGTAAAGGCATACTTCCGGTTGGAGACGGGGAACAAGGTAGAGAGAGTTTTGCACTCCCTGACCCTCTTAGTGGACGACGACATACCGTTTGACCTTATTCTAGGGACGGATTGGGGAGAGGCTGCCAGGGCCGATGTGAAGATGGGCGTGTGATAATCTCAGACCCGTACCGCGCGGCTTGCCGTATCCCAAGGAAAAATCCCACGGAAGCCCCGAAGTACGGACGCGGACAAAGAGGGGTTTTTCTTTCTTTTTGCTTTTGTTTTCTTTTTGAAACAGTTTTTTCATTTATTTATTTTTTTGGTTAATAACGCCCGCGCGGGCGAATAGCGGCCGCGGTATGAAAACCAAGAAACGGTTTCGGTTGGGACTTTTTGCATTTTTGCACGCGCGCGCCTAAGCTCCGATTTCTTCGTGTCTCGCACCCCCGCTTCTTGCTTTACATCCCCGCACCATCTTCCTTCCTTGCTGCGCGCGTTTCCCTCAAGCCGGACTCTTCGTCTTCCCCTACGCCCAGCTTGATCCTTACCCCATCTTCCTCCGCGAAGTGATTGGCTGCGTAGTTGGGATGCTCGGATCAATGTGGAGAGCGGGAAACCTCGCACCACTTGAACGAGCACCCCAATCACGTAGGACCATGCAACCCCGCAGGTCGAACCCTCTGACTCCCCACCTTTTCTTCTGCGCTGCCCGCACCTCGCGCTGACAACCCGCCGCCTCCCGCGCTATAAATTCGCGCAACCCTCTCCTCTCCCTCTCTTTGATCTCGGCTGCAATGCTGTGCGAGCTATGCGCGAAAGTCCGCGGCGCCGAACAGGCTCGACGAGCCCAAGGACGGGCGGAGTGACGACATGGGGTGGACCCGCGGTAGTCTCGGGGCGAAGCAGTCGGAGGGACTGAGCAGTGGTGGGGATATTTTGTGTACAAGAAGGACTCGCTTGTATCTCCATTGCTGCTTTGTCTATGCATGACGTGTGTGTGAAGCCCCGAGTGATGGGAGCTGGTTGTGCGCATGAGTGATGTCGAAGGTCTATGGATGATTGGATGTCATGTCAAGGGTTGTTGATTGCATGCACTTATGTGTGTATGTCCTTATCCGGGCGGGGACGGGGGAACTGAACTGGAAGACCGTCTGCTTAGGCGTATGAGCGTGTTGATCCTGTTGTTCCCCTCCCCTCCACGGCCTTTCCTGCGCGCACGCGCAGTCTCGGTGTAACTCACTCTCTCTCGATCGCCTTTCTTTTTGAACTGATAGTCATCGCTTTTGAACTTCTCGTCCCTGCACCGGTGACGTCAACCGCCTGCATCCGCGCGCGCGGTCGACGCCCCCGCAAGGGGAAGAGAGCTTAGATTTCGTCATCTTCTCCCGGCGCATCAACCTTGAGAGAGAAGTGTTGTATGGAGTCGGTGTTGGTTCCGATGACCGGGAGCGCGGGATCTTGCCCGTGTTCATCGAGCACCTCCGATCGTCTCATCTCGCTACCGACCTTCCCCATTGCAGATGACGACAGCGTCTACTGCGATGCGGACGTACGGCGCGCGCTGAGACGGACGGAGCAAGTGTGTTGGCGAGACCCGCCTTGGGCGTGTAATATAAGGGGGAACGGGTTTGTCTTGATTGATCGCTTTGATTCCCCGACTTTAATATTGCCTTATACGGGTTTGAGGGTGTTGCCCTGGTCGGCCGCTCACGCCGCGTGGCGGCCGCAGTTTGATTGTCGATGATGTCGCCAGGGGGACTCGTGTTCTTGGCGACGCTTGGTCCCGGGTTACGAGGGAGCGACACGTTTCCCCGAGCTCTTCCGTAATGCGGGGGCGCTGCCCGCGCAATTTCGAATTCGGATGCTGGCGAGTCCTCCCGCAGCTTCACCCTCTCGGAAACTTCCGCGCGGACTTTTCGAGTCCGACGCCCAGGCTTGAAGGCCTCGAACCAACCACTTCTACACCAAAAACCCGACGGTCCGGCCACTTCATGAGGCCGATGACGAGGCCTGAAGGCTTCGAACCCACCATCTATCCCTCAAACCCATGACGGTCGGAGCTTCTGTCTTCCGCCGCCATGGCCCTCTCCCCTTGATGTTTTTTCCCGTCCTGATGCACGACGGAAGTTCGTTTTGCGGAAACCCTCTTGATTTTGTCGCTCCAAACTGATCCGACCCCCACGGGACTTCGCGACGACAGTTCGACTCCGGGGTAACCTCTGGCACGAAACGAGAGCCTCCCGTTCCGGAGATGACTCATACTCAACTGACACCAACCGTCTCTCCATCCACGCCATATGACCTTAACTTTAGCCAGAGGGTCCTATAGACAATATACACCTCACATCGGCAGGGCCCTCAAGGCCAGGCTTAGGCGGACAGTCATCGCGGCCACAAGCATTACTGATCCTTGTACTCATATCATAGGCGAGATCCCCCTTTCTACTCTAACCAACCTAACCCTTGGGTGGACACAAGGTTCGAGAGCAAGCCTACCTAGGCTAACTTGGAGTCTCTTAGGATCCGGTATATACACCTCATGTACTAAAATACATATATACATGCCTCACGGCCCATTCGCCATACCATCATGACCCGCCGACTAAGACATAGGTGTTCAGTTCACACAATCGATAAGTCTACCAACCCTACTCTCATACCCATCTATGTGCACAAGCCCATAAAGGACACACTCTGGCAGGATACAAAGTCACCTTTTATCGCCCTCTGAAAGGTAGCGGGTGCGTTGGTGAGGCCGAATGGCATCACCGTGAACTCGTAGTGGCCGAAGCGGGATCGGAACGCTGTCTTCGGCTGGTCGGCTGCAGCGACGCGGATCTGATGGTAACCGCTACGAAGATCAATTTTCGTAAAGAGGCGATTGCCTGCTAAGCGGTCGAACAGCTCGTCGGAATGAGGCATGGGGTAGTTGTTCTTAACCGTGTAGCGGTTGAAACCGCAATAGTCAATGCAGAGACGGAGAGTTCCATCCGCTTTGCGAGCAAAGAGGACGGGTGCACCCCACAAGGAGTTGTTGGGCTTAATGAAACCCAGTCTCAAGAGCTCCTCAAGCTGACGCTTGAGTTCAGTGGCCTCGGGGATCGAGTGTCTGTAGGGTGCCTGGTGGTGAACACGATAGTTAGGCACAAGCTGGATGGAGTGCTCGACGTCTCGCATCGGTGGGATGCTAGTGTACGAGAACGGCAATGGGAAAACCTCGTGGTACTGTCGAATGAGGTCACGAACTGCGGGCTCCAGGTCGGCCGTATAGTGTGCGAGTTCCTCAACGTCAGCGTCCGTGCGGGACGGCAGGGTGGACTCGACGGACGACGGAGGGACGGAAGTAGAGATAGGAGCCATGGAGATAGAAGGAGGATCCGGCTCCAAAGGGATGAGCTCGGCGTCGGGACCGGGTGAATCAGTGTAAGAGATCTGTCACGTTCACCATAAAGAAGGTGATGTCGTCCTGTCGGATGAAGTGAGCGAACTGCCAAGTCGAGATGACAGTGATAGAAGGAAATGGTGTGGACACGGAAGGCTCCGGGGGAGGAGGATCGGGGCGTGGTATCGCAGTGGTACCTATGAAAGGTACGTGATACGTCTGACCACACTTCGTTTTGAGAACGAGAGTGTTGGTCGCCCAATCGGCCTCGGTGCTGCGGAACCGACGAGACCACGAAGTGCCGAGAATGAAGTCGTACCCCGTCTCCATCACATCGAAATGTGTCGAGGAGCAGTGGTGACGAGACGCCGGGGGACAATCAGTCGACTCGAGAGTGAGGAAGACAGAGAGGTCGGTGACCGTCTGATCGAAGAAGTGTTGGGTCTTGTCATCCCCTAGGGTAACAGAGATGGGAGTTCGAGACCCGGTCGTGGGTAAGCCAACTTCTTTCACCACGCGTGGGTGAATGAAGTCGCCCTGACAACCGGAATCCCACAGCGCTGAGTACACCCTCGTGGAGGTTCCTAGTCGTACGGAGATGATCGGGAGGGTGCGATCAGGGTCAGAGAGGATGGTGAGAAGGTGACGCAGTGCACCGACATGGACGGTGAGTCCCTCCTGACGAGCTTGGAGCATACTCAAGTCCAGAAGAGAGGACACAACGTCCTCGCGAATAGCGAGCTGCTCGCTACTACGGGTTGAGCGAATGGCTCAGCATTAGTAGCGAAAGGGGCGAACTGCGACAGAGATGTCGGAAAGCCCACTACTGAGGAGGGCGCAGGTGTACACTTCACCGTGGCTAGGAGGCGCCGTGGGGATGAGAGGCGCCGGGGGGGAACTGAGCACGACGCTGGCGGGAAAGGTCAGCGTAGTAACGGTCAAGGGCAATGGTGTAAGGGCACCGCGAGGAGGTATGACCGTCCTGACGGCATCGCAAACAGCCACGCCGGCCCAAAATATTCGCGCGCTCCTCAACCGAAAAGACACCGCGAGGATATGTATCATTTTTTCGGTGAGTTCCTCAAACTAGAAACTCTGGACTCACAATATCACTTGAGAAACCTCAGCTAGACATTAGTTGTAGCTTAAAAGACTAAATGTACCAACGAAGATATTAGTCGTAGGTTAAAGGACTAAATGTACCAACGATTACCAAACGGAGATCTCTCTAACTCTCTAACTTTCTCACTCGCTTTGACAAACATTAGTCGTAGCTTAAAGGACCTAAATGTCCGAACGAATACTACACAGAGGTCTCTCTAAAACTTTTCCACTCGCTTTGACTCTCTCTTGTACCGTAAACGTATCCCGCTACCGGTTTAATGCTCACTTTAAAAAAATTGAAATCATAAAATCAGTTTAGAAACCTAAGGTGGACTTCAGTCAAAGCTCAAACGACTCTTTGCGCCAAAGAATACTCAAGTGATCAACATCCGCTGAAAACCTGAGGCAAAATTTTAGTCACAACTTGTAGGACTACATGTGCCTTCTTTTGTTAAATTACGCAGATAAGATCAAGTAGTCGGTCTAGAACATATAAAATCTCTATATCCAAACAAAACTTCGGATGTACCAAAATGTCTTACATCACGATGACTTCTATAGAAAATCTAATTGAATCGAAGCTAACAGGACTAAATGTGTGTTGAGGTGCCAAATTGAGCCCGTACATAGTTTTGGAGTCAAATCTAGCAGTGTGGTTATTCCTAAGTAGTTCATGCATGCTTATCCTCTCGGCCGATACAGTTATGTGAATGTTTGATGAGATCCATGACAATTGTTTGGATGTGTACTGAGATCTAGACTTCTTGATATATGTGATGAGTAATGTATCATTGCATCCTTGTTGGATATATAAAATTTTATTTTGTGTCATCATCTTTAAGCACTATAACAGTAAGAGTACTGGTCAAAGTATAATTGAAATATGTTTATCGACAATATGGACAGTTAGACATGCGTTGGGTGTCGATGACTATTATTTAGACAAGAAACATTTTCATTTTCTAGCAACGGTTACACTTAATTTTGACATACATCATTTTTCCCAACAATACCTGTCATATTACACAATAACTTCGAATGTTGCATATTTTCGATGGAACCCGCACTCCAACTTGCAACCCCTAAAATTTAAGGTTATGAACGTAAAGTTGTTGGTTACATACAATGAAGGCAGGCATCTGAATAGATGTACACGGAAGAGTCGTTAAGTTAGTGATTTTTGCATAAAGAATCGCAAAATCATATACTTGCATAGTTTTGACTTGCATCCACACACCACTTTGTCGTATAACACAACAAGTTCGGATATTATCTGATGTCAATCATATGTGCACTTTAAGTTGTCCTGCATAGATATTTGACATATGAAATTCAATGCAAACAAGTTCAGGTGCATGAAAAATGACAGACTTAAAGAGAACTTAAACTCTTAACAATTAAAGAAACCATGATTGTTGTCAAAATAACAATTGAATAATGTCATGTATCACAAATCATTAATGCACAGAACAATGTCAAAAGAAAGTTTGAGAGCACTACATCACCATCAAAGGCAACGACCTTCTAGTATACAGGTTGCCAATTATCGTCGAATAAGCGGGATATTTGTATGAGAGAACGTGGAAGGACCCCGCAACTTGCTTCATCCACTTATCTGGGAACTCCTTCCACCACAACATTCGCCGCCATCGGCTTCCAACTCCCATCTGACCGATCATGTAATGTTTCCTGTTCTAAATACTGTATAATCAAATCGAAAAGGCTAAGGTAAGAACCCCTATCAGCTAGAACGCGATGAAAAAAATCAAAAACTTCCAAGACAGTGTCTTAAGTTGATGGAGAGGAGGATCCAATGATCATTTTCTTTGTGGACAGACACAAAGATAATATCGTACTTAAGTAGATCTACGTTTTTTGCCCACCTTTTCACCCAATTGTGTCCTTCAAGTTGCAGCTTATCGAAGAAGAACGAATCAAAGTTGAAGACACAAAGGTTTAACAACATATCGTGTGTCGCACATGTGGTCGACCCCAAAAGCGCCATGTAGAAATTAACCACTTCATCATTCACCTTGCCCTCGATATGCAAAAAGGTGAGGAGATTTTTCGCTCCAATGCGCAAGTGATTATCGGCGAGGGTAAAGAAAACTGTGAGAGGCGGCATCGAGCCTCGCATAATATCGTCCAGAACCCGTAAACATTGAGGCGCAGTTGGTGGAGCAAAGTTTTCCTCACGTGCTCCACGTGCTGTGACGCACACTGCACAACATCGGGCAACGCATAAGCAGGGCAGTGAGAAACGGGGCTTTAAGGATTGTCCTTCATAGCACAATGGATTGCTAAGCATTTCTCATATATGGGGTGACCTCTAGTCACAAATAGTGGATACGTCCCCTTCTTCGGGGGCAGAAGGGAAAGACACTACTCAATTGTTATGGCATGCTCTTTCTTTCCGATCTCGACATCAACCCCTGATGCCTTTAACATATCCTTGTTTTTTGTCGTCAACCCAGAGACTTTCTGCAATATATGTGCGGATATCTCGAGAACCTCCGTTTGCGAGATGACCCTACCCCTGTAAAACAGAAGAAAGAGAAAACGAGAAATGAATACACGTATCCCAACACGAGTGCGACGGAAGGATAATCTAAAATAATGAATCAACCTATAAGACGCAGAGCCTCTCCAAGAGCACCGACTTCGCATGGCGCTGAGCACCACGATGTTGTCCGTACAGTCGCCTAAACTCGTCGGACGAATCGTCAGAGTCGGCATCCTCGTCACTATCCTCAACATGAGAACCCTCCATTCTTTCCTTTCTTTCCTCCTCTTCATTATCCATGTTCCCTTTGTCCTCTTTTTCCCTTTCAAGCAAACCAGTCAACCCTTTCTCTTCCCCTTCCTCCCCTTCTTCCCCTTCCTCCCCTTCGTCCCTTCGCTACAACTCATCCCTTCCCCCGAACCCGTGTCTCATTCCGCCGACCGCTCTTCTGCTTTGACGCGCGTAGACCCTCCCGCCGCCATCAGAATTCCAGCCCGAGGACCCCCTTTTCATGAAGTTTGGATTCCGACGGACTTCGACGTTCTCAGGCCAGTGCGCGATCCACTTGCACACTCTTCCGTTTTCGCTGTAGGTCGCCCCTCCCCCTAAGTCGACGCAGTTCGGTCTCGCACATCACCACCGCTAAACGGAAGACCGTCCCCAAGCGAAGTGTGGATTTTGGCACAATTCGACGCGACATTTTGGCTGGGCACTCCCGCCCCCGACCCACTCTGCACAGCAGATTCCCGCCCTAGCACCTCAACCGGTGTAGTTCGGATCTCAACGAACTTGGACTTTTCGTCGGTGATTGGAATCCCTACTTGTGAGCCGCTGCCAACACCAATTGAGGTGGCCAACCTCTCTGTCGCTAAGCGGGGGGCCGATGCCTCTCATGATAAAGTCAGGATGTCTGCGGACTTCACCGTATGATGTGGACCGGAGCCCGCAGTTGCATGTTCAGCGAGGGAGCCCTCCCCACCCCACCACCGCCTTCCGTTGTCGTCACTTCGTCGTGAGGCCCATTCTGTCCACTAGGGGGGACGCCTTTTCCAGTCCCCTCATCGCCCCCCTGTCCCCTCCACCGCCCGGAGTCCCCCCCTCCAAACACCCAAGTGGCCCAATCGAAGGGGGTATCTTCCAGTTCACCCTTCCCTTCGAAGAGCTCGTGTCAAGGTCGTAAAATTCGTCTGACAGGTCCAACCAGTGTTGTGAAGTTCGTGAAAAAGACGATCAGCAGTGGAACCGATGGACTGGTCGGTGTGTGGAAGCTCTGGATTTTTAGCCCTTACTTTGTCGA